TGGACCAACTGGCCTATTGGTCCTATGGACCGGTATGGGTGACCCACTGGCCTGTTGGTCCTATGGACCGGTGGACCAACTGGCATGTTGGTCCTATGGACCGGTTGGACCAACTGGCATGTTGGTCCTATGGACCGGTTGGACCAACTGGCATGTTGTTCCAATGGACCTGTTGGACCAACTGGCGTGTTGGTCCTATGGACCGGTTGGACCCACTTGCCTATTGGTCCTATGGACCGGTTGGACCGACTGGCCTACTGGTCCTATGGACCGGTTGGACCGACTGGCCTGTTGGTCCTATGGACCGGTTGGACCAACTAGCCTTTTGGTCTTATGGACCGGTTGGAGCAACTGGCCTGTTGGTCCTATGGACCGGTTGGACCAACTGGCCTGTTGGTCCTATGGACCGTTTGGACCAACTGGCCTCTTGGTCCTATGGACCGGTTGGACCAACAGGCTTGTTGGCAGAATGGACAGGTTGGACCAACTGGCCTGTTGGCCAAATGGACCGGTTGGACCAACTGGCCTATTGGTCCTATGGACCAGTTGGACCAACTGGCCTGTTGGTCCTATGGACTGGTTGGACCAACTAGCATGTTGGTCCTATGGACCGGTTGGACCAACTGTCCTGTTGGTCCTATGGACCGGTTGGACCAACTGGCATGTTGTTCCAATGGACCTGTTGGACCAACTGGCGTGTTGGTCCTATGGACCGGTTGGACCCACTTGCCTATTGGTCCTATGGACCGGTTGGACCGACTGGCCTGTTGGTCCTATGGACCAGTTGGACCAACTGGCCTGTTGGTCCTATGGACCGGTTGGACCAACTGGCCTTTTGGTCTTATGGACCGGTTGGACCAACTGGCCTGTTGGTCCTATGGACCGGTTGGACCAACTGGCCTGTTGGTCCTATGGACCGGTTGGACCAACTGGCCTGTTGGTCCTATGGACCGTTTGGACCAACTGGCATGTTGTTCCAATGGACCGGTTGGACCAACTGGCATGTTGGTCCTATAGACCGGTTGGACCAACTGGCCTGTTGGCCGAATGGACCGGTTGGACCAACTGGCCTGTTGGTCCTATGGACAGGTTGGACCAACTGGCCTGTTGGCAGAATGGACCGGTAGGACCAACTGGCCTGTTGGCCGAATGGACCGGTTGGACCAACTGGCCTGTTGGTCCTATGGACCGGTTGGACCAACTGGCCTGTTGGTCCTATGGACCGTTTGGACCAACTGGCATGTTGTTCCAATGGACCGGTTGGACCAACTAACGTGTTGGTCCTACGGACCGATTGGACCAACTGGCGTGTTGGTCGTATGGACTGGTTGGACCAACTTGCCTGTTGGCCGAATGGACCGATTGGACCAACTGGCGTGTTGGTCCTATGGACCGGTTGGACCAACTGGCCTGTTGGCCGAATGGACCGGTTGGACCAACTAGCCTGTTGGTCCTATGGACCGGTTGGACCAACTGGCCTGTTGGTCCTATGGACCGGTTGGACCAACTGGCCTGTTGGTCCTATGGACCGGTTGGACCAACTGGTCTGTTGGCCGAATGGACCGGTTGGACCAACTGGCCTGTTGGTCCTATGGACCGGTTGGACCAACTGGCCTGTTGGCCGAATGGACCGATCGGACCAACTCGCCTGTAAGTCCTATGGACCGGTTGGACCAACTGGCCTGTTGGTCCTATGGACCGGTTGGACCAACTGGCCTGTTGGTCGTATAGACCGGTTGGACCAACTGGCCTGTTGGCCGAATGGACCGGTTGGACCAACTGGCCTGTTGGTCCTATGGACCGGTTGGACCAACTGGCCTGTTGGCCGAATGGACCGGTAGGACCAACTAGCCTGTTGGTCCTATGGACCGGATGGACCAACTGGCCTGTTGGTCTTATGGACCAGTTGGACCAACTGGCCTGTTGGTCCTATGGACCGGTTGGACCAACTGGTCTGTTGGCCGAATGGACCGGTTGGACCAACTGGCCTGTTGGTCCTATGGACCGGTTGGACCAACTGGCCTGTTGGCCGAAAGGACCGGTTGGACCAACTGGCCTGTTGGCCAAATGGACCGGTTGGACCAACGGGCCTGTTGGTCCTATGGACCAGTTGGACCAACTGGCCTGTTGGTCCTATGGACCGGTTGGACCAACTGGTCTGTTGGCCGAATGGACCGGTTGGACCAACTGGCCTGTTGGTCCTATGGACCGGTTGGACCAACTGGCCTGTTGGTCCTATGGACCGTTTGGACCAACTGGCCTCTTGGTCCTATGGACCGGTTGGACCAACAGGCTTGTTGGCAGAATGGACAGGTTGGACCAACTGGCCTGTTGGCCAAATGGACCGGTTGGACCAACTGGCCTATTGGTCCTATGGACCGGTTGGACCAACTGGCCTGTTGGTCCTATGGACCGGTTGGACCAACTGGCATGTTGGTCCTATGGACCGGTTGGACCAACTGTCCTGTTGGTCCTATCGACCGGTTGGACCAACTGGCATGTTGTTCCAATGGACCTGTTGGACCAACTGGCGTGTTGGTCCTATGGACCGGTTGGACCCACTTGCCTATTGGTCCTATGGACCGGTTGGACCGACTGGCCTGTTGGTCCTATGGACCAGTTGGACCAACTGGCCTGTTGGTCCTATGGACCGGTTGGACCAACTGGCCTTTTGGTCTTATGGACCGGTTGGACCAACTGGCCTGTTGGTCCTATGGACCGGTTGGACCAACTGGCCTGTTGGTCCTATGGACCGGTTGGACCAACTGGCCTGTTGGTCCTATGGACCGTTTGGACCAACTGGCATGTTGTTCCAATGGACCGGTTGGACCAACTGGCATGTTGGTCCTATAGACCGGTTGGACCAACTGGCCTGTTGGCCGAATGGACCGGTTGGACCAACTGGCCTGTTGGTCCTATGGACAGGTTGGACCAACTGGCCTGTTGGCAGAATGGACCGGTAGGACCAACTGGCCTGTTGGCCGAATGGACCGGTTGGACCAACTGGCCTGTTGGTCCTATGGACCGGTTGGACCAACTGGCCTGTTGGTCCTATGGACCGGTTGGACCAACTGGCATGTTGTTCCAATGGACCGGTTGGACCAACTAACGTGTTGGTCCTATGGACCGATTGGACCAACTGGCGTGTTGGTCCCATGGACCGGTTGGACCAACTTGCCTGTTGGTCCTATGGACCGGTTGGACCAACTGGCCTGTTGGCCGAATGGACCGGTTGGACCAACTAGCCTGTTGGTCCTATGGACCGGTTGGACCAACTGGCCTGTTGGTCCTATGGACCGGTTGGACCAACTGGCCTGTTGGTCCTATGGACCGGTTGGACCAACTGGTCTGTTGGCCGAATGGACCGGTTGGACCAACTGGCCTGTTGGTCCTATGGACCGGTTGGACCAACTGGCCTGTTGGCCGAATGGACCGATCGGACCAACTCGCCTGTAAGTCCTATGGACCGGTTGGACCAACTAGCCTGTTGGTCCTATGGACCGGTTGGACCAACTGGCCTGTTGGTCCTATAGACCGGTTGGACCAACTGGCCTGTTGGCCGAATGGACCGGTTGGACCAACTGGCCTGTTGGTCCTATGGACCGGTTGGACCAACTGGCCTGTTGGCCGAATGGACCGGTAGGACCAACTAGCCTGTTGGTCCTATGGACCGGTTGGATCAACTGGCCTGTTGGTCCTATGGACCGGTTGGACCAACTGGCCTGTTGGTCCTATGGACCGGTTGGACCAACTGGTCTGTTGGCCGAATGGACCGGTTGGACCAACTGGCCTGTTGGTCCTATGGACCGGTTGGACCAACTGGCCTGTTGGCCGAAAGGACCGGTTGGACCAACTGGCCTGTTGGCCAAATGGACCGGTTGGACCAACTGGCCTGTTGGTCCTATGGACCGTTTGGACCAACTGGCCTGTTGGTCCTATGGACCGTTTTGACCAACTCGCCTCTAGGTCCTATGGACCGGTTGGACCAACAGGCTTGTTGGCAGAATGGACAGGTTGGACCAACTGGCCTGTTGGCCAAATGGACCGATTGGACCAACTGGCCTATTGGTCCTATGGACCGGTTGGACCAACTGGCCTGTTGGTCCTATGGACCGGTTGGACCAACTGGCATGTTGGTCCTATGGACCGGTTGGAACAACTGGCGTGTTGGTCCTATGGACCGGTTGGACCAACTGGCATGTTGTTCCAATGGACCTGTTGGACCAACTGGCGTGTTGGTCCTATGGACCGGTTGGACCCACTTGCCTATTGGTCCTATGGACCGGTTGGACCAACTGGCCTATTGGTCCTATGGACCAGTTGGACCAACTGGCCTGTTGGTCCTATGGACCGGTTGGACCAACTGGCCTTTTGGTCTTATGGACCGGTTGGAGCAACTGGCCTGTTGGTCCTATGGACCAGTTGGAGCAACAGGCCTGTTGGCCGAATGGACCGGTTGGACCAACTGGCTTGTTGGCCGAATGGACCGGTTGGACCAACTGGCCTGTTGGTCCTATGGACCGGTTGGACCAACTGGCCTGTTGGTCCTATGGACCGGCTGGACCAACAGGCCTGTTGGCCGAATGGACCGGCTGGACCAACAGGCCTGTTGGCCGAATGGACCGGTTGGACCAACTGGCATGTTGTTCCAAATGGACCGGTTGGACAAACTGGCGTGTTGGTCCTATGGACCGGTTGGACCAACTGGCCTGTTGGTCCTATGGACCAGTTGGACCAACTGGCCTGTTGGTCCTATGGACCGGTTGGACCAACTGGCCTTTTGGTCTTATGGACCGGTTGGAGCAACTGGCCTGTTGGTCCTATGGACCGGTTGGAGCAACAGGCCTGTTGGCCGAATGGACCGGTTGGACCAACTGGCTTGTTGGCAGAATGGACCGGTTGGACCAACTGGCATGTTGGTCCTATGGACCGGTTGGACCAACTGGCCTGTTGGTCCTATGGACCGGCTGGACCAACAGGCCTGTTGGCCGAATGGACCGGCTGGACCAACAGGCCTGTTGGCCGAATGGACCGGTTGGACCAACTGGCATGTTGTTCCAAATGGACCGGTTGGACAAACTGGCGTGTTGGTCCTATGGACCGGTTGGACCAACTGGCCTGTTAGTCCTATGGACCGGTTGGACCAACTGGCCTGTTGGTCCTATGGACCGGTTGGAGCAACTGGCATGTTGTTTCAATGGACCGGGTCCTATGGACCGGTTGGACCAACTTGCCTGTTGGTCCTATGGACCGGTTCGAGCAACTGGCCTGTTGGTCCTATGGACCGGTTGGACCAACTGGCCTGTTGGTCTTATGGACCGGTTGGACCAACTGGCCTGTTGGTCCTATGGACCGGTTGGACCAACTGGCATGTTGGCCAAATGGACTGGTTGGACCAACTGGCGTATTGGTCCTATGGACCGGTTGGACGAACTGGCCTATTGGTCCTATGGACCAGTTGGACCAACTGGTATGTTGGTCCTATAGACCGGTTGGACAAACTGGCCTGTTGGTCCTATGGACCGGTTCGACCAACTGGCCTGTTGGTCCTATGGACCGGTTGGACCAACTGGCATGTTGGTCCTATGGACTGATTGAACCGACTGGCCTGTTGGTCCAATGGACCGGATGGACCAACTGGCCTGTTGGTCCTATGGACCGGTTGGACCAACTGGCCTGTTGGTCCTATGGACCGATTGAACCAACTGGGCTGTTGGTCCAATGGACCGGTTGGACCAACTGGCATGTTGGTCCTATGGACCGATTGGACCAACTGGCCTGTTGGTCCTATGGACCGGTTGGACCAACTGGCCTGTTGGTCCTATGAACCGGTTGGACCAACTGGCATGTTGGTCCTATGGACCGATTGCACCAACTGGCCTGTTGGTCCAATGGACCGGTTGGACCAACTGACCTGTTGGCCGAATGGACCGGTTGGACAAACTGGCCTGTTGGTCCTATGGACCGGTTGGACCAACTGGCCTGTTGGTCTTATGGACCGGTTGGACCAACTGGCCTGTTGGTCCTATGGACCGGTTGGACCAACTGGCATGTTGGCCAAATGGACTGGTTGGACCAACTGGCGTATTGGTCCTATGGACCGGTTGGACGAACTGGCCTATTGGTCCTATGGACCAGTTGGACCAACTGGTATGTTGGTCCTATAGACCGGTTGGACAAACTGGCCTGTTGGTCCTATGGACCGGTTCGACCAACTGGCCTGTTGGTCCTATGGACCGGTTGGACCAACTGGCATGTTGGTCCTATGGACTGATTGAACCGACTGGCCTGTTGGTCCAATGGACCGGATGGACCAACTGGCCTGTTGGTCCTATGGACCGGTTGGACCAACTGGCATGTTGGTCCTATGGACCGATTGGACCAACTGGCCTGTTGGTCCTATGGACCGGTTGGACCAACTGGCCTGTTGGTCCTATGAACCGGTTGGACCAACTGGCATGTTGGTCCTATGGACCGATTGCACCAACTGGCCTGTTGGTCCAATGGACCGGTTGGACCAACTGACCTGTTGGCCGAATGGACCGGTTGGACAAACTGGCCTGTTGGTCCTATGGACCGGTTGGACCAACTGGCCTGTTGGCCGAATGGACCAGTTGGACCAACTGGCCTGTTGGCCGAATGGACCGATTGAACCAACTGGCCTGTTGGTCCTATGGACCGGTTGGACCAACAGGCCTATTGGTCCTACGGACCGGTTGGACCAACTGGCCTGTTGGCCAAATGGACCGGTTGGACCAACTGGCCTGTTGGTCCTATGGACCGGTTGGACCAACTGGCCTGTCGGTCCTATGAACCGGTTGGACAAACTGGCCTGTCGGTCCTACGGACCGGTTGGACCAACTGGCCTGTTGGCCAAATGGACTGGTTGGACCAACTGGCCTGTTGGTCCTATGGACCGGTTGGACCAACTGGCCTGTTGGTCCTATGGACCGTTTGGACCAACTGGCATGTTGTTCCAATGGACCGGTTGGACCAACGGGCATGTTGGTCCTATAGACCGGTTGGACCAACTAGCCTGTTGGCCGAATGGACCGGTTGGACCAGCTGGCCTGTTGGTCCTATGGACAGGTTGGACCAACTGGCCTGTTGGCAGAATGGACCGGTAGGACCAACTGGCCTGTTGGCCGAATGGACCGGTTGGACCAACTGGCCTGTTGGTCCTATGGACCGGTTGGACCAACTGGCCTGTCGGTCCTATGGACCGGTTGGACCAACTGGTCTGTCGGTCCTATGGACCGGTTGGAGCAACTGGCATGTTGGTCCAATGGACCGGTTGGACAAACTGGCATGTTGGTCCTATGGACCGGTTGGACCAACTGGCCTGTTGGTCCTATGGACCGGTTGGAGCAACTGGTCTGTTGGTCCTATGGACCGGTTGGAGCAACTGGCATGTTGGTCCTATGGACCGGTTGGACCAACTGGCCTGTTGGCCGAATGGACCGGTTGGACCAACTGGCCTGTTGGTCTTATAGACCGGTTGGACCAACTGGCACGTTGGTCCTATGGGCCGGTTGGACCAACTGGACTGTTGGTCCTATGGACCGGTTGGACCAATTGGCCAGTTGGTCCTATGGACCGGTTGGACCAACTGGCCTGTTGGTCCTATGGACCGGTTGGACAAACTGGCGTGTTGGTCGTATGGACCGGTTGGACAAACTGGCCTGTTGGTCCTATGGCCCGGTTGGACAAACTGGCCTGTTGGTCCAATGGACCGGTTGGACCAACTAGCCTGTTGGTCCTATGGACCGGTTGGAGCAACTGGCATGTTGTTCCAATGGACCTGTTGGAGCAACTGACGTGTTGGTCCTATGGACCGGTTGGACCAACTTGCCTATTGGTCCTATGGACCGGTTCGAGCAACTGGCCTGTTGGTCCTATGGACCAGTTTGACCAACTGGCCTGTTTGTGCAATGGACCGATTGGACCAACTGGCCTGTTGGTCCTATGGACCGGTTGGCCAACTGGCATGTTGGCCAAATGGACCGGTTGGACCAACTGGCGTGTTGGTCCTATGGACCGGTTGGACCAACTGGCCTGTTGGTCCTATGGACCGGTTGGACCAACTGGCCTGTTGGTCCTATGGACCGGTTGGACCAACTGGCCTGTTGGTCTTATAGACCGGTTGGACCAACTGGCACGTTGGTCCTATGGGCCGGTTGGACCAACTGGACTGTTGGTCCTATGGACCGGTTGGACCAATTGGCCAGTTGGTCCTATGGACCGGTTGGACCAACTGGCCTGTTGGTCCTATGGACCGGTTGGACAAACTGGCGTGTTGGTCGTATGGACCGGTTGGACAAACTGGCCTGTTGGTCCTATGGACCGGTTGGACAAACTGGCCTGTTGGTCCAATGGACCGGTTGGACCAACTAGCCTGTTGGTCCTATGGACCGGTTGGACCAACTGGCCTGTTGGTCCTATGGACCGGTTGGAGCAACTGACATGTTGTTCCAATGGACCTGTTGGAGCAATTGACGTGTTGGTCCTATGGACCGGTTGGACCAACTTGCCTGTTGGTCCTATGGACCGGTTCGAGCAACTGGCCTGTTGGTCCTATGGACCGGTTGGAGCAACTGGCATGTTGGTCCTATGGACCGGTTGGACCAACTGGCGTGTTGGTCCTATGGACCGGTTGGACCAACTGGCCTGTTGGCCGAATGGACCGGTTGGACCAACTGGCCAGTTGGTCTTATGGACCAGTTGGACCAACTGGCCTGTTGGTCCTATGGGCCGGTTGGCCAACTGGCTTGTTGGTCATATGGACCAGTTTGACCAACTGGCCTGTTTGTGCAATGGACCGATTGGACCAACTGGCCTGTTGGTCCTATGGACCGGTTGGCCAACTGGCATGTTGGCCAAATGGACCGGTTGGACCAACTGGCGTGTTGGTCCTATGGACCGGTTGGACCAACTGGCCTGTTGGTCCTATGGACCGGTTGGACCAACTGGCCTGTTGGTCCTATGGACCGGTTGGACCAACTGGCCTGTTGGTCCTATGGACCGGTTGGACCAACTGGCATGTTGGTCCTATGGATCGACTGAACCAACTGGCCTGTTGGTCCTGTGGACCGGATCGACCAACTGACCTGTTGGCCCTATGGACCGGTTGGACCGACTAGCATGTTGGCCAAATGGACCGGATGGACCAACTAGCCTGTTGGTCCTATGGACCGGTCCGACCAACTGGCATGTTGGTCCTATGGACCGATTGAACCAACTGGCCCGTTGGTCCTATGGACCGGTTGGACCAACTGACCTGTTGGCAGAATGGACCCGTTGGACCAACTGGCATGTTGGTCCTATGGACCGGTTGGACCAACTGACCTGTTGGCCGAATGGACCGGTTGGACCAACTGGCCTGTTGGCCAAATGGACCGGTTGGACCAACTGGCCTATTGGTCCTATGGACTGGTTGGACGAACTGGCATGTTGGTCCTATGGACCGGTTGGACCAACTAGCCTGTTTGCCGAATGGACCGGTTGGACCAACTGGCCTGTTGGTCCTATGGACCGGTTGGACCAACTGGCCTGTTTGTCCTATGGACCGGTTGGACCAACTGGCCTGTTGGTCCTATGGACCGGTTGGACCAACTGGCATGTTGGTCCTATGGACAGATTGAACCAACTGGCCTGTTGGTCCTATCGACAGGTTGGACCAACTGACCTGTTGGCCGAATGGACCGGTTTGACCAACTGGCATGTTGGTCCTATGGACCGGTTGGACCAACTGGACTGTTGGCCAAATGGACCGGTTGGACCAACTGGCTTGTTGGTCCTATGGACCGGTTGGACCAACTGGCCTATTGGTCCTATGGACCGGTTGGACCAACTGGCCTGTTGGCCAAATGGACTGGTTGGACCAACTGGCCAGTTGGTCCTATGGACCGGTTGGAGCAACTGGCATGTTGGTCCTATGGACCGGTTGGACCAACTGGCCTGTTGGCCGAATGGACCAATTGGACCAACTGGCCTGTTGGTCCAATGGACAGGTTGGACCAACTGGTATGTTGGTCCTATGGACCGGTTGGACAAACTGGATTGTTGGTCCTATGGACCGGTTGGACCAATTGGTATGTTGGTCCTATGGACCGGTTGGACCAACTGGCCTGTTGGTCCTATGGACCGGTTGGACCAACTGGCATGTTGGTCCTATGGACCGGTTGGACAAACTGGCCCGTTGGTCCTATGGACCGGTTGGACCAACTGGCCTGTTGGCCGAATGGACCAATTGGACCAACTGGCCTGTTGGTCCAATGGACAGGTTGGACCAACTGGTATGTTGGTCCTATGGACCGGTTGGACAAACTGGTATGTTGGTCCTATGGACCGGTTGGACCAACTGGCCTGTTGGTCCTATGGACCGGTTGGAGCAACTGGCATGTTGGTCCTATGGATCGGTTGGACAAACTGGCCTGTTGGTCCTATGGACCGGTTGGACCAACTGGCATGTTGGCCAAATGGACCGGTTGGACCAACTGGCGTGTTGGTCCTTGGACCAACTGGCCTGTTGGTCCTATGGACCGGTTGGACCAACTGGCCTGTTGGTCCTATGGACCGGTTGGACCAACTGGCATGTTGTTCCAATGGACCTGTTGGACCAACTGACGTGTTGGTCCTATGGACCGGTTGGACCAACTTGCCTGTTGGTCCTATGGACCGGTTGGACCAACTGGCATGTTGGTCCTATGGACCGGTTGGACCATCTAGCATGTTGGTCCTATGGACCGGTTGGACCAACTGGCCTGTTGGTCCTATGGACCGGTTGGACCAACTGGCCTGTTCGTCCTATGGACCGGTTGGACCAACTGGCATGTTGGTCCTATGGACCGATTGAACTAACTGGCCTGTTGGTCCTGTGGACCGGATGGACCAACTGACCTGTTGGCCCTATGGACCGGTTGGACCGACTGGCATGTTGGTCCTATGGACCGGTTGGACCAACTGGCATGTTGGCCGAATGGACCGGATGGACCAACTGGCCTGTTGGTCCTATGGACCGGTTGGACCAACTGGCCTATTGGTCCTATGGACTGGTTGGACGAACTGGCATGTTGGTCCTATGGACCGGTTGGACCAACTAGCCTGTTTGCCGAATGGACCGGTTGGACCAACTGGCCTGTTGGTCCTATGGACCGGTTGGACCAACTGGCCTGTTTGTCCTATGGACCGGTTGGACCAACTGGCCTGTTGGTCCTATGGACCGGTTGGACCAACTGGCATGTTGGTCCTATGGACAGATTGAACCAACTGGCCTGTTGGTCCTATCGACAGGTTGGACCAACTGACCTGTTGGCCGAATGGACCGGTTTGACCAACTGGCATGTTGGTCCTATGGACCGGTTGGACCAACTGGACTGTTGGCCAAATGGACCGGTTGGACCAACTGGCTTGTTGGTCCTATGGACCGGTTGGACCAACTGGCCTATTGGTCCTATGGACCGGTTGGACCAACTGGCCTGTTGGCCAAATGGACTGGTTGGACCAACTGGCCAGTTGGTCCTATGGACCGGTTGGAGCAACTGGCATGTTGGTCCTATGGACCGGTTGGACCAACTGGCCTGTTGGCCGAATGGACCAATTGGACCAACTGGCCTGTTGGTCCAATGGACAGGTTGGACCAACTGGTATGTTGGTCCTATGGACCGGTTGGACAAACTGGATTGTTGGTCCTATGGACCGGTTGGACCAATTGGTATGTTGGTCCTATGGACCGGTTGGACCAACTGGCCTGTTGGTCCTATGGACCGGTTGGACCAACTGGCATGTTGGTCCTATGGACCGGTTGGACAAACTGGCCCGTTGGTCCTATGGACCGGTTGGACCAACTGGCCTGTTGGCCGAATGGACCAATTGGACCAACTGGCCTGTTGGTCCAATGGACAGGTTGGACCAACTGGTATGTTGGTCCTATGGACCGGTTGGACAAACTGGTATGTTGGTCCTATGGACCGGTTGGACCAACTGGCCTGTTGGTCCTATGGACCGGTTGGAGCAACTGGCATGTTGGTCCTATGGATCGGTTGGACAAACTGGCCTGTTGGTCCTATGGACCGGTTGGACCAACTGGCATGTTGGCCAAATGGACCGGTTGGACCAACTGGCGTGTTGGTCCTTGGACCAACTGGCCTGTTGGTCCTATGGACCGGTTGGACCAACTGGCCTGTTGGTCCTATGGACCGGTTGGACCAACTGGCATGTTGTTCCAATGGACCTGTTGGACCAACTGACGTGTTGGTCCTATGGACCGGTTGGACCAACTTGCCTGTTGGTCCTATGGACCGGTTGGACCAACTGGCATGTTGGTCCTATGGACCGGTTGGACCATCTAGCATGTTGGTCCTATGGACCGGTTGGACCAACTGGCCTGTTAGTCCTATGGACCGGTTGGACCAACTGGCCTGTTCGTCCTATGGACCGGTTGGACCAACTGGCATGTTGGTCCTATGGACCGATTGAACTAACTGGCCTGTTGGTCCTGTGGACCGGATGGACCAACTGACCTGTTGGCCCTATGGACCGGTTGGACCGACTGGCATGTTGGTCCTATGGACCGGTTGGACCAACTGGCATGTTGGCCGAATGGACCGGATGGACCAACTGGCCTGTTGGTCCTATGGACCGGTTGGACCAACTGGCATGTTGGTCCTATGGACCGATTGAGCCAACTGGCCTGTTGGTCCTATGGACCGGTTGGACCAACTGACCTGTTGGCAGAATGGACCGGTTGGACCAACTGGCATGTTGGTCCCATGGACCGGTTGGACCAACTGGCCTGTTGGCCGAATGGACCGGTTGGACCAACTGGCCTGTTGGTCCTATGGACCGGTTGGACCAACTGGCCTGTTGGCCGAATGGACCGGTTGGACCAACTGGCATGTTGGCCAAATGGACCGGTTGGACCAACTGGCCTATTGGTCCTATGGATCGGTTGGACCAACTGGCATGTTGGTCCTATGGACCGGTTGGACCAACTGGCCTGTTTGGCGAATGGACCGGTTGGACCAACTGGCCTGTTGGTCCTATGGACCCGTTGGACCAACTGGCCTGCTTGTCCTATGGACCGGTTGGACCAACTGGCCTGTTGGTCCTATGGACCGGTTGGACCAACTGGTGTGTTGGTCCTATAGACCGTTTGGACCAACTGGCATGTTGTTCCAATGGACCGGTTGGACCAACTGACGTGTTGGTCCTATGGATCGGTTGGACCAACTGGCCTGTTGGCCGAATGGACCGGTTGGACAAACTGGCCTGTTGGTCCTATGGACCGGTTGGACCAACTGACCTGTTGGCCGAATGGACCGGTTGGACCAACTGGCCTGTTGGTCCTATGGACCGGTTGGACCAACTGGCCTGTTGGTCCTATGGTTCGGTTGGACCAACTGGCATGTTGGTCCTATGGACAGATTGAACCAACTGGCCTGTTGGTCCTATGGACAGGTTGGACCAACTGACCTGTTGGCCGAATGGACCGGTTGGACCAACTGGCATGTTGGTCCTATGGACCGGTTGGACCAACTGGCCTGTTGGCCAAATGGACCGGTTGGACCAACTGGCCTGTTGGTCCTATGGACCGGTTGGACCAACTGGCCTATTGGTCCTATGGACCGGTTGGACCAACTGGCATGTTGGCCAAATGGACTGGTTGCACCAACTGGCCAGTTGGTCCTATGGACTGGTTGGACCAACTGGCATGTTGGTCCTATGGACCGGTTGGACAAACTGGCCTGTTGGCCGAATGGACCGATTGGACCAACTGGCCTGTTGGTCCAATGGACAGGTTGGACCAACTGGTATGTTGGTCCTATGGACCGGTTGGACAAACTGGCCTGTTGGTCCTATGGACCAGTTGGACCAACTGGTATGTTGGTCCTATGGACCGGTTGGACCAACTGGCCTGTTTGTCCTATGGACCGGTGGACCAACTGGCATGTTGGCCAAATGGACCGGTTGGCCAACTAGCGTGTTGGTCCTATGGACCAGTTGGACCAACTGGCCTGTTGGTCCTATGGACCGGTTGGACCAACTGGCCTGTTGGTCCTATGGACCGGTTGGACCAACTGGCCTGTTGGTCCTATGGACCGGTTGGACCAACTGGCCTGTTGGGCGAATGGACCGGTTGGACCAACTGGCATGTTGGTCCTATGGACCGGTTGGACCAACTGGCCAGTTGGTCCTATGGACTGGTTGGACCAACTGGCATGTTGGTCCTATGGACCGGTTGGACAAACTGGCCTGTTGGCCGAATGGACCGATTGGACCAACTGGCCAGTTGGTCCAATGGACAGGTTGGACCAACTGGTATGTTGGTCCTATGGACCGGTTGGACAACTGGCCTGTTGGTCCTATGGACCATTTGGACCAACTGGTATGTTGGTCCTATGGACCGGTTGGACCAACTGGCATGTTGGCCAAATGGACCGATAGGACCAACTAGCGTGTTGGTCCTATGGACCGGTTGGACGAACTGGCCTATTGGTCCTATGGACCGGTTGGACCAACTGGTATGTTGGTCCTATGGACCGGTTCGACCAACTGGCCTGTTTGTCCTATGGACCGGTTGGACCAACTGGCATGTTGGTCCTATGGGCCGGTTGGACCAACTGCCCTGTTGGTCCTATGGACCGATTGAACCAACTGGCCTGTTGGTCCAATGGACCGGTTGGACCAACTGGCATGTTGGTCCTATGGACCGATTGAACCAACTGGCATGTTTGTCCTATGGACCGGTTGGACCAACTGGCCTTTTGGTCCTATGAACCGGTTGGACCAACTGGCATGTTGGTCCTATGGACCGATTGCACCAACTGGCCTGTTGGTCCAATGGACCGGTTGGACCAACTGACCTGTTGGCCGAATGGACCGGTTGGACCAACTGGCATGTTAGTCCTATGGACCGGTTGGACCAACTGGCCTGTTGGCCGAATGGACCGGTTGGACCAACAGGCCTATTGGTTCTACGGACCGGTTGGACCAACTGGCCTGTTGGCCAAATGGACCGGTTGGACCAACTGGCCTGTTGGTCCTATGGACCGGTTGGACCAACTGGCCTGTCGGTCCTATGGACCGGTTGGACCAACTGGCCTGTTGGTCCTATGGACCGGTTGGACCAACTGGCCTGTTGGCCAAATGGACCGGTTGGACAAACTGGCATGTTGGTCCTATGGACCGGTTGGACCAACTGGCATGTTGGTCCTATGGACCGGTTGGACCAACTGGCCTGTTGGTCCTATGGACCGGTTGGAGCAACTGGTCTGTTGGTCCTATGGACCGGTTGGAGCAACTGGCATGTTGGTCCTATGGACCGGTTGGACCAACTGGCCTGTTGGCCGAATGGACCGGTTGGACCAACTGGCCAGTTGGTCTTATAAACCGGTTGGACCAACTGGCACGTTGGTCCTATGGGCCGGTTGGACCAACTGGACTGTTGGTCCTATGGACCAGTTGGACCAACTGGTATGTTGGTCCTATGGACCGGTTGGACCAACTGGCCTGTTGGACCTATGGACCGGTTGGACCAACTGGCATGTTGGTCCTATGGACCGGTTGGACAAACTGGCCAGTTGGTCCTATGGACCGGTTGGACCAACTGGCCAGTTGGTCCTATGGACCGGTTGGACCAACAGGCATGTTGGCCAAATGGACCGGCTGGACAAACTGGCGTGTTGGTCCTATGGACCGGTTGGACCAACTGGCCTGTTGGTCCTATGGACCGGTTGTAGCACTGGCATGTTGTTCCAATGGACCTGTTGGAGCAACTGATGTGTTGGTCCTATGGACCGGTTGGACCAACTTGCATATTGGTCCTATGGACCGGTTCGAGCAACTGGCCTGTTGGTCCTATGGACCGGTTGGAGAAACTGGCATGTTGGTCCTGTGGACCGGTTGGACCAACTGGCCTGTTGGCCGAATGGACCGGTTGGACCAACTGGCCAGTTGGTCTTATGGACCGGTTGGACCAACTGGCCTGTTGGTCCTATGGACCGGTTGGACCAACTGGCATGTTGGTCCTATGGACCGGTTGGACCAACTGGCCTGTTTGTCCTATGAACCGATTGGACCAACTGGCCTGTTGGTCCTATGGACTGGTTGGGCAACTGGCGTGTTGGCCAAATGGACCAGTTGGACCAACTGGCCTGTTGGTCCTATGGACCGGTTGGACCAACTGGCATGTTGTTCCAATGGACCTGTTGGACCAACTGACGTGTTGGTCCTATGGACCGGTTGGACCAACTTGCCTGTTGGTCCTATGGACCGGTTGGACCAACTGGCATGTTGGTCCTATGGACCGGTTGGACCATCTAGCATGTTGGTCCTATGGACCGGTTGGACCAACTGGCCTGTTGGTCCTATGGACCAGTTGGACCAACTGGCATGTTGGTCCTATGGACCGGTTGGACCAACTGGCCTGTTGGTCCTATGGACCGGATGGACCAACTGACCTATTGGCCCTATGGACCGGTTGGACCGACTGGCATGTTGGTCCTATGGACCGGTTGGACCAACTGGCATGTTGGCCGAATGGACCGGATGGACCAACTGGCCTGTTGGTCCTATGGACCAGTTGGACCGACTGGCCTATTGGTCTTATGGACCGGTTGGACCAACTGGCCTGTTGGCCAAATGGACCGGTTGGACCAACCGGCCAACTGGTCCTATGGACCGGTTGGACCAACTGGCCTGTTGGTCCTATGCACCGGTTGGACCAACTGGCCTGTTTGCCGAATGGACCGGTTGGAAAAACTGGCCTGTTGGTCCTATGGACCGGTTGGACCATTCGGCCTGTTAGTCCTATGGACCGGTTGAACCAACTGGCATGTTGTTCCAATGGACGAGTTGGACAAACTGACCTGTTGGTCCTATGGACCGGTTGGTCCAACTGGCCTGTTGGTCATATGGACCGCTTGGACCAACTGGCATGTTGTTCCAATGGACCAGTTGGACCAACTGACGTGTTGGTCCTATGGACCAGTTGGACCAACTGGCCTATTGGTCCTATGGAACGGTTGGACCAACTGGCCTGTTGGCCAAATGGGCTGGTTGGACCAACTGGCCAGTTGGTCCTATGGACCAGTTGGACCAACTGGCTTGTTGGTCCTATGGACCGGATGGACAACTGGCCTGTTGGTCCTATGGACCGGTTGGACCAACTGGCCTGTTGGCCGAATGGACCGGTTGGACAACTGGCCTGTTGGTCCTATGGGCCGGTTGGACCAACTGGCCTGTTGGCCGAATGGACTGGTTGGACCAACTGGCCTATTGGTCCTATGGACCGGTTGGACCAACTGGCCTATTGGTCCTATGGACCGGTTGGACCAACTCGCCTGTTGGTCCTATGGACTGGTTGGACCAACTGGCATGTTGGTCCAATGGACCGATTGGACCAACTGGCCTGTTGGTTTTATGGACCGGTTGGACCAACTGACCTGCTGGCCGAATGGACCAACTGGCATGTTGGTCCTATGGACCGGTTGGACCAACTGGCATGTTTCCCGAATGGACCGGTTGGACCAACTAGCCTGTTGGTCCTATGGACCGGTTGGACCAACTGGCCGGTTGGTCCTATGGACCGGTTGGACCAACTGGCCTGTTGGCCAAATGGACCAGTTGGACCAACTGGCCTGTTGGTCCTATGGACTAGTTAAACCAACCGGCATGTTGGTCCTATGGACCGGTTGGACCAACTGGCCTGTTGGTCCTATGGACCGGTTGGACCAACTGGCCTGTTGGTCCTATGGACCGGTTGGACCAACTGACCTTTTGATCCTATGGACCGGTTGGACCAACTGGCCTGTTGGTCCTATGGACCGATTGGACCAACTTGCATGTTGGTCCTATGGACCGATTGAGCCAACTGGCCTGTTGGTCCTATGGACCCGGTTGGACCAACTGACCTGTTGGCCGAATGGACCGGTTGGGCAAACTGGCTTGTTGGTCCTATGGACCGGTTGGACCAACTGGCCTGTTAGTCCTATGGACCGCTTGGACCAACTTACCTGTTTGTCCTATGGACCGGTTGGACCAACTTACCTGTTTGTCCTATGGACCGGTTGGACCAACTGGCATGTTGGTCCTATGGACCGGTTGGACCAACTGGCATGTTGCCCGAATGGACCGGTTGGACCAACTGGCCTGTTGGTCTTATGGACCGGTTGGACCAACTGGCCTGTTGGCCAAATGTACCTGTTGGACCAACTGGCCAGTTGGTTCTATGGACTAGTTGGACCAACCGGCCTGTTGGTCCTATGGACCGGTTGGACCACTGGCATGTTGGTCCTATGGACCGGTTGGACCAACTGGCCTGTTGGTTTTATGGACCGGTTGGACCAACTTACCTGTTGGCCGAGTGGACCGGTTGGACCAACTGGCATGTTGGTCCTATGGACCGGTTGGACCAACTGGCATGTTGCCCGAATGGATCGGTTGGACCAACTAGCCTGTTGGTCCTATGGACCGGTTGGACCAACTGGCCTGTTGGTCCTATGGACCGGTTGGACCAACTGGCCTGTTGGTCCTATGGACCGGTTGGACCAACTGGCCTGTTGGTCCTATGGACCAGTTGGACCAACTGGCCTGTTGGCCAAATGGACCGGTTGGACCAACTGGCATATGCAATAATAGTAGAAGGATGGAACAGGGTGGGCTTGACATGACAATGATAGGATGATGAGTTAGTTATATGTATGTGAAACAACAAGTAGGAATGGGTGTAGGGGGAAATATAGTTACTGTTGGGAAAGGGTGTAGAAGGGGGGAAATGGGATCGTGGCGGTTGGATTTGGGAGGAAGGCCTCGACATGCGAAACCTTCCAAAGCTGGCAACACCCCACCCGAGCCGCACATGTGGAAACGTGCAGCCTTGGGTGGGGTCATAAGCTTCTCCCTCCCATCCCCTCCTTGCTTTCTAGTGTGTAATTCTCTCGAACTAGTGAATCTGGTTGTCTCACGCTCTAGCTCACGACAGCACGACACTAAGAGGAAACCTACGGGGTGGGGGACGAGACTCTTTCATTACATACTAGAAAGGCGTACGGAGGCTAGGCTCGAACGAGATGGATAAGCACGAACTGCGTTGGGGTAGGGCGTATAGCCGTCGGGAGGAAGAGCGAGAGCGTCACGAACCGTCCCGAGAACGTGGGCGATCCTGGGAACGGTCGCCGCGCCGCCCCTCTTTCCGCGCGGATCGGGTTCCGGCTGTGAGGGACGGTCGAGCGATAGATGCACGCGCGAGCGGCGGAGGGCTCGTCGATCGGGCAGATCGAGAGGCGTGGCCGCGAGAGAACGTACGCGGAACGGGCGCGGAGGGCGGGAGTCACCGCGGCACCGGGACGTTCCACTCGCCGGAAGAGGCCATAGGACCAAGAGGCCAGTTGGTCCAACCGGTCCATAGGACCAACACGTCAGTTGGTCCAACTGGTCCATGGGAACAACATGCCAGTTGGTCCAACCGGTCCATAGGACAAACAGGCCAGTTGGTCCAACCGGTCCATAGGACCAACAGGCTAGTTGGTCCAACCGGTCCATTCGGCCAAGAGGCCAGTTGGTCCAACCGGTCCATAGGACCAACAGGCCAGTTGGTCCAACCGGTCCATGGGACCAACAGGCCAGTTGGTCCAACCGGTCCATTGAACCAACTGGCCAGTTGGTCCAACCGGTCCATAGGACCAACATGCCAGTTGGTCCAACCGGTCCATAGGACCAACAGGCCAGTTGGTCCAACCGGTCCATAGGACCAACAGGCCAGTTGATCCAACCCGTCCATTCGGCCAACAGGCCAATTGGTCCAACGGGTCCATAGGACCAATAGGCCAGTTGGTCCAACCGGTCCATGGGACCAACAGGCCAGTTGGTCCAACCGGTCCATAGGACCAACATGCCAGTTGGTCCAACTGGTCCATTCGGCCAACAGGTCAGTTGGTCCAACTGGTCCATAGGACCAACAGACCAGTTGGTTCTATCGGTCCATAGGACCAACATGCAAGTTGGTCCAACCAGTCCATAGGACCAACAGGCCAGTTGCTCCAACCGGTCCATACGACCAACAGGCCAGTTGGTCCAACCGGTCCATAGGACCAACAAGCCAGTTTGTCCAAACGGTCCATTCGGCCAACAGGCCAGTTGGTCCAACCGGTCCATAGGACCAACAGGCCAGTTGGTCCAACTGGTCCATAGGACCAACATGCCCGTTGGTCCAACCGGTCCATAGGACCAACAGGCCAGTTGGTCCAACCGGTCCATTCGGCCAACAGGCCAGTTGGTCCAACCGGTCCATAGGACCAACAGGCCAGTTGGTCCAACCGGTCTATAGGACCAATATGCTAGTTGGTCCAACCAGTCCATTCAGCCAACAGGCCAGTTGGTCCAACCGGTCCATAGGACCAACAGGCTAGTTGGTTCAACCGGTCCATTCGGCCAACAGGCCAGTTGGTCCAACCGGTCCATAGGACCAACAGGCCAGTTGGTCCAACCGGTCCATGGGACCAACAGGCCAGTTGGTCCAACCGGTCCATTGAACCAACTGGCCAGTTGGTCCAACCGGTCCATAGGACCAACATGCCAGTTGGTCCAACCGGTCCATAGGACTAACAGGCTAGTTGGTCCAACCGGTCCATAGGACCAACAGGCCAGTTGATCCAACCCGTCCATTCGGCCAACAGGCCGGTTGGTCCAACGGGTCCATAGGACCAATAGGCCAGTTGGTCCAACCGGTCCATGGGACCAACAGGCCAGTTGGTCCAACCGGTCCATAGGACCAACATGCCAGTTGGTCCAACTGGTCCATTCGGCCAACAGGTCAGTTGGTCCAACTGGTCCATAGGACCAACAGGCTAGTTGGTTCTATCGGTCCATAGGACCAACATGCAAGTTGGTCCAACCGGTCCATAGGACCAACAGGCCAGTTGCTCCAACCGGTCCATAGGACCAACAGGCCAGTTGGTCCAACCGGTCCATAGGACCAACATGCCAGTTTGTCCAACCGGTCCATAGGACCAACATGCCAGTTGGTCCAACCGGTCCATAGGACCAACAGGCCAGTTGGTCCAACCGGTCCATTTGGCAAACAGGCCAGTTGGTCCAACCGGTCCATAGGACCAACAGGCCTGTTGGTCCAACCAGTCCATTTGGCCAATAATAGGCCAGTTGATCCAACCGGTCCATAGGACAAACAGGCCAGTTGATCCAACCGGTCCATAGGACAAATAGGCCATTTGGTCCAACCGGTCCATAGGACCAACAGGCCAGTTGGTCCAACCGGTCCATAGGACCAACAGGCTAGTTCGTCCAACCAGTTCATAGGACCATCAGGCCAGTTGTGTCAATTGGTCCATAGGACGAACAGGCCAAATGGTCAACCGGTCCATTCGGCCAACAGGCCAATTGGTCCAACCAGTCCATAGGACCAACAGGCCAGTTTGTCCAACTGGTCCATTGGATCAACAG